TCTTTTGGGCCATCCACTCAGCCAGTGAGTTAAAGTTAGTTATTCTTTGAGTGTAGACTTTGATAAACAGATTACGGTTTTGTTTGGAAGGAGTTCGGAGGCCCAAAATCGTGGTTTTACCTAGCACCCCCCCGCCCCCCAGTTGTTCCACTTGCTTTGCTTATGCTGAGCTCTTTTTGAACAACTTGCGTTTAAATAATGTTATCTATTTCTATAAAAACATTTCAATTGAACAAGCTTCCAGTGTAAGAGTTCATGTTGACATAGAACAAGCCCCTTTTAAATTATAATTCAACTGTTGGAGTATGTCCAGTTAGATTTTGAGTTGAATTTAAACTGATATGAGAGGGCTCAAGAAGGGACTACCTGTTCCGAATTGTATTGGCAAATTGGAAGTTCGACCTGTTCTGCAACAACACAACACCACCCATGTGCTTCGTTTACTTCGTGTTGCTTCTTGAATGTGTGCGCGTGGATCTGTCTATGCTATAGCTGGGGGTACGAGCTTACTGTGATGCAGGTATTTCACTTATTTTCACTTAGATCCCTAAATTCAGCTTCCGGGATTATTGTGCAAAACTTGCTGATGGATGGGCAGGGCTCCTAAAAAGATCTCCATTTCGCGCGCCCGTTTGAAGCATGTGGCTTTTCCAACTGCCAAAATCGTAAAATTCGCGGATGGATGGCAAAATAAAGATACATGGAAACTAGCATTTGCCAGTTGCAATGTCTTGAGGTGTTTGTCCATGCATCCGGATCCCTGGACGCGGCACCCCCAAAGCATCGAGCCAGGTGGCAGACCAGCTCTCAGCCTCCGCTCTGCTGGGCTTGGTGCCGCGAGGGTGCGCCCGCGCTGCCGTACCTTTACTCAGTTGCTCAAAGCGAATCGACCGGATCTGACCTTTTGGTTTTCCCTTGTTGGTCTATATTTGGTAGAGGTCCCAAAAGGTGATCACCTTTTATAAACAGGTCCTTTGGGCAACTGAGTTTAGGGTCGGTTTCTCGCGCCGCAAAAGCGCATTGGTTTTTGGCCTTTCCTAGATGAAAGTCTTCTGAAACGGGTAAACGTTGGACAGTTCGAATGAAACTTGCGTTCTTTTCGACCGCGTCCTGCCCGTGATTTGGATCAACACTTGCCGCTAAATACTGGTGACCAACAACTGGCTCCCTCAAGGACCCATTGACCCACTGAAAGGGCGCAAAAAGTGCGGCAAGTTCGAAAATCCGGTGAGGATCCGGTGAGGAGAAGCTGTTGTTGTTTTTGGGCGAAAATAATCAAGCACAATCCAAAAAGAACAAATGTTCGACATCCTCAAAGCTACTACTTTGTTTGTATGGTTCAAAAGTGAGCAGCCCGGCAACCTCCCATTGCACGAAAAACAGCGGGAAACCAACCCTGTTTTTAGCCGCGTCCTCGCCTCCATTTAAGAAGGCCAGCAGGAAACCTGTTCAGCCCCCCACCCCCCCCCCACAATTTAGGAGACCAAAACAACATCAAACGATGCCAAGGGCCGATTTACCCTCAAAAGTAGCTCAAAAGCATAAAATGGCCGTCGCCTGTTTTGATGGAGAATGCTTCGACCGTTGGCAGTACAGCAGAGTTCTTCTGGGTATATTGACTTGGGTTTTGCGTGAGGTTGTGCCAGATCCTGCAAAAATTGGGCAACATGTCAAGGCGGCATACCCCAACGTTGGCCGGCTGCATGACTTGCACCTTCTTTGGCACGACGACTCCATCCCCAAAAAAAGGACAAGTTTTCTTGAGCTGCAACAGCGAATATGCGGCCACCAGCCTCATTTGAGTCTCCAGTAGATTGGCATGAGTCGCAATGATTACGTGTGTTTCAACGTGCTCGCCATTGCCATATGTTGCAACTGTGATAAGTTTGAACTTCACTATCGGTGTTTTATCTTGTGTGGAGCGTGGAACGCAAGCCCATCGTTTCCTGAGGTCAGAATCATACGTGTCGTTGTCTTTGCCGAGGCAACATTCCCCTCAAATCTCAAGGCTTGAATCGATTCAAAAGATGTGTTTTTTGGTCAGCAGAGTCTATCATACTGTAACTGCTTGCATGTTATGTCCGACCCAGAGGTTTTGTAGGTCAAGCTTCTTTTGCTTGTTCACAGGTCATTGTATGCCCGTTGGGGGGTGAAACATGACCTTTGAGGCCCATGTCGATGGAGTTGTTGTTGGAGGGTTGTCTTTTTGCGGGGGCAACGGGAAACCCCCCGGAGGCATCAGATGGGTTCTTATAATATTATAAGGGAACTTCCGAAGAGTTGCCGTTTCTTGGGTTTTCCTTTGGTTTGGCATGCCGCATCAGGCAAGGTCGGCTCAACGCTTTGCAGGTGTGGGCGAGGGCGGTCGCAGGGGTGGCTGGGCAGGGAAGGGGGTTGGGCTGGCTACAAGACGGCAACATCATTGTCCCTCCTCCAGGTTTGAAGGGCTACTTTCCTTTTGGGATATGTTTTTTGGAGGGCAAGCATCCCAAATGAATGAATGCGCAAAGTGGAGGCGTCTGAGCACCAGACAGTATTCAAGTTCAGGTGTATGAAGGTATATGTTTGTTTTGTTAGCCTGGGACGGACGTTGTGAGCAAGTTGCTCGTCAAGGGCCATTTGACCAAACAAATATCAGGGCGAGTGTCAACATTGATCAGCTAGCATCGGCCGGCGAGCTGGCAAGTCATTGTTGGCTCCCTCGTTCTCAGTTTCCTGTGACATCGCTAAGCTTAGCCGCCTGTCCACAACGTGGAACCCACCAGAGGGTTTCTTTTACAGCAAGCTTGTCCTCCAGGACCCCTAAGGGTTCCATGTTCGTGGGAGGTTTTCCATGTATCCTCCAAGAACCAGGGGTTCAATTCCAAATCCACCAGTTGAAATCATCAAGTAAGGGTTAGCTGACAACTGATATGAACTGCCCTTTTCCCGCTTGGAGTTTCCTTCCCTTCTAAGCAGCCAGTGAAAGCAAGCGGTGCCGGGCCCCTCGGAGGCGCGAGTCTCAAGCAGAAGCTTCCACCTTTTGGCAGGTGAAAGAGCTGCAGGTTGAAGGAGTCATTGAAGGACTAAGCATAACATTCCGACAAGAGGTCATTGTTGGGAGGATCATTCAAATCTGTTTGAGACAGCCCAGCCTTGACTCGTCTCGTTCCTTTGCAACGCAGGGTTTCCTTCCACCTGGGCGGGAAATGGGGTCCGCCGGTGAAAGGTTGTGGGCATGCAGGGGCCAACACCCATTTCTGTGGCCTTTGATCCTGTTTTGCTGCACCTCAAGATTTTCCAGCGGAGGCGGAGGTATAATGAGCACCGCCTAAGCTCCACGGAACCAACACAATGAACACCATTTGTGTTGTGCGTGGGAGGGGGGGGACTGCTTGCGCTTTGATTGCGTGCGCAGGCAATGCACGCATTCCCGGTCGGGCGAGTTGAGGGCCTTGTTGAGCAAGCTTGGAGTGCGCAGACAACATCCATGGATAATCGAACAGCTCACTTCCAGAGTTTCTGGACTTTATATTTTTTGGGAGGATAATTTTAGCGAAGACAATTTTAGTGGTAAATGACTAGTCTGCATTTGTTTTGCCCAATCCACTCAGGAAGTGAGACTTACAGCAAGCTCACAGACAACCAAGCTCGCTGGATAACTCGGGGATTCCGTGGAGTTCAGCTCTTTTGGATTTCGGGAGCAGAAATACGAGAAAGAGAGAGATAGAGAGCGCGATAAGACAAAGACAGCGATCACGCCTTTCCATTGTATATTATGTGTGCGTGTTTGTTTTGATCATGGGATACCTGTCGCGTAGGTTCTTGAACGGCCCCAATATGCGTCTCAAGCGCTCAAAGTGCCCCTGTGCCAGCACATTTGCACATCTCTCCAACAGTTGCTGCACATGTTGCAGGCACGATGTTATTATGTGCACGCGTATTTGTGCTTCTCATGTGCAATCTTCAAGCGAACCGCTTTTAGGCGACAAAAGGCGTCGGCCTTCCACAAAGGGAAGATGTTGTTCGTCGGGTTACCTTTGTTTGCTATGGGTCACTGCTTGCTACAGGAAGCAGGCCGAACCATTCAGGAGGCAACCGGGGGTCTAGGCAAATGTGCCTTTCGATGGCACTGTGATATACTGTGATCAAGCGCAACGGGTTCCTCAAAACACATTGTATTCAAGAGCCACATTCTTTAGAAGGGGATCCTCTAAATCAGCTGAGCTTTGGGTGGTGTTTCAATTGGTCCCAGGTATTTGTGGAGGGACCCCGGGGTCAAGAGCTCCAAGCTTTGGCACTGCGAAGCATGCAGGGGCTGTCTGCGACGCCGGCCCCTGTCGCGGTAGCCTGAGCTGGGAGATCTGGGGATTTCCGGTACTGTGGATGGGCGAAATTGGTTTCCCTAGACACCCTGGAGGATTCGATTCCGCGGCAAATGCCAAGAAACCGGTTTCAACCACTCAGTTGTTCAAAGCCGACCTTTTGATCTTTTGGTTTTCCCTTGTTGGTCTATATTTAGTAGAGGTCCCAAAAGGTTAACCTTTTATAAACAGGTCCTTTGCAATTTGGGCAACTGAGACTTTGGTTTCATGTCGTGGTGCGAAATGAGTTGACAAAACTATCCACACTATGTTTGATGCGGAAGGAGCGGCTTGCCAACTTGCCAATGGCCGAAACTCAGCCCGCGCTGTTTGTCGTTTTTTTTGTGCAGGGGCACCGGGCCAAGGCACGCCGCGGCCCGCAATCCGCAACATTTTGGCTCGGCGATCGCAGCTTTTGATGGGGCGGACATATTTTGTCCTACGGCAAGCCAGATAGCTAGGTGTCAGTTTCACGGCTTTACGATTCAAAACGCAGGCCCCTCGTGACAGCGGTGAGTGTGGAGAGCTTCGACTCAAAAGCATGTTGGAAACACGATCCAACCTCTCGCAGGTTTTGTTTCTGGCGTCTTATATGCAACATCTTGATCTGAACATGTTGTATGAATACATGCTCGTGCTCGAGTTCTCGAGCTGCGACACAAGCATATGGTAACTGGTGTGTCTGCCGCACCTGGCCCGACCCGACGACTGGCGCCATGGGGGCGGAGCCAACGGAAGCCAAGGGGATGGAGCAAGAGCCAATGGCGAAGGAGCCTGGAGGCGTTCGGAGTGAGTGAGAGGAAAGCCTGTCGGAGCCATTGGCTAGGAATATGTTTGTTTTGTATTCTGGTCCGTGCTCAGATTCGAATCGAGACGATCTTCCATTTGCCCACGTGGTTTCAAGGGAATCGATTTCACAACTCGACATACTGTGGATGGACGAAATCCTGCACCACCTAAGAAACCTTGGGAATGATGATTCCCCTGTAAATACCAACCAACAATGGTTTTCCATTGTTTCTTGGGTGGTGCAAGATTTTGTCCATCCACAGTATTATTATTTGTTTCTGGGGACTCTACTGCAGATGCAGGCTGTTTGGTCTTCCTGCCCGAGAGAGCCCTGGGCTAGATGTGGGAAGAAGGTGAAGCCCTAGCAGAAGTTCTGGTTGACTAGGGTGTCTCCACCTAGTGATTCGTCACCTTTGGAGAGCAAGACTCCTATCAATACCCACAGCCCTCGAGGGTTGCCGTCACCCTAATCCTTAGGGTAAAGGCTCAGGGTTTAGGTTCTCAGTTGTCCAGTGGCTCCCTTTTCCCCCTTTTTTTTTCTGTGGCTGCTTTACTAAAATGGGTCTTCCCAAAACAGGGTTCCCTTTTTTTTAGTCTCCTAGTTGTCACTGAACAACTGAGTCGGTTTCCCTGGGGTCAACACCGACACATGGACCATGCGATCCCGTTTCCGAAGTCCCGGCGCCTTTTTTTTTGGGTCTCAAAAAGGAAGGTGTTCTAAGCCGACACCCTCGTTGCTTTCGTGCGCGCAGAAATTGACAGAGGCCCTGTAGGTCTCTTGCGACTCAACTTCCCCCAAGTGGAGACAGTGGAGGGAGGGTACTGGGGGATACTGGGGGCTCAGGACTTAAATTTGGGTGGTGAACAGCGGGTGTCCCATTTTGGGCACAAGCCTCCACTTTTCGTGGAAGCACTCCATTTCCCTTCCCCCTGTTACTATCTGCCCTCGTGATTCTTCCAGGTTTCTAGGGGGAGCTTCCCCATTCATTTCGGGGATCCTTCTTTTCAGGAAACCCTCAAGCACCTGGGGAAAACAACCGGTTTGTGAAAGAACAACTGTTTAACAGAATGTGGATTCAACCCCTAGAAGGTTGACCCATCCACTGGCTCGAGTTGATTCATCCGGTTGCATCCACGTTGTTCGGTCGGAGGTGAGCTCATGATCTTCGATGATGGGTCCATGACCGCGGACAAGGCGCAGTCCAGTGCCATGAGCTGCTCGCTCGCAGACACCTGAGGGCTGGAAGGCTGGCCTTTTGGTTCCTCCCGTGGATGGAACGTTGATCCATTTCGCACCCGAAACTCCACTGGTCGGATTTGCCAATAGAAATCCCTTTCTGACAAACTGCTGCGAAATGGGTTTTGTCCGGCAGCACCCTCAAAAGCACCTCCGCCCAAAAAGGGGCGCCCAACTCCAAAATTGGGCGCCCATGTAAGCGGGAGATGGGGGAGTGGCAACAGCGGGTGGTTGCTTGTTGCGGTAAAGCACTGGGTCGGGATTCCGTTTCCCTTGCGGAAGCCAATGAGGGTGAACCTTAGGCCTTAAGAGCTTCTCAGGGATTTGTTGTTTTTGTTTTTGAAATGCCAACTTGCCAGTAGAGCCGGTTGATCTGGAAAGAGGGATAGCTGAATACTTATTGCCAATTTTGGACGTGTCAGACTCGCCAAATGATGACCTTGCCAAAAGGGTTTGCCGTTTCTTGAGTGTACCCCTTGTTTGTGGCTTTGAAGGGAAACCACAAGGAAAGCCGCGTCGTTTTTTGTTTTGGGGGGGGGATCCCCTAAAAAACAGCACACACAAACGAGGCTTGGCAGCCTCACTCGAAGGTTCCGTTCCATATCTTGGTTTGCCCCCTGCTGTAGCAACACTTAAGGGAGGCGGTTCATTTCAGTGGAGAAGGCAAGCCCTGGTCGACTTCTCAAATGATTCTTCCAATTGTGTGAAGTATAGGTTCTCCCACATGTTTGGCCGGGGCAATCCCAATCTAGCGAAGCTGCGACCCGGGATGCCAGGATGTTCTGACAGTCGTGTTGCCATAGATAAGACGTCCCGAAAGCTGGCCTCGAGGCCTTCTTTGCTTGCAGGAGGAGGGGGTGACAAGATTCTTACCTCTTAAAAACACAACTTTTCAACTTTTTGGGGGTAACATGGGCTATATGTCTGTAAAAGATTAACTTCCCCAGGGCTTGGAGTTTTAAGGGGTAAGGATTGTGGGCGCAAAAGGGCAATAGAATCTGAACAAATGAGATGGACTGTTCTGCCACGTGTCGCTTACACATTGCCCGCACGCATGCTTTGCCATTTGTTAGACTCGCCACTTCGACGTCCATAGCTTGTCCGGGCTGGGCCGGTTTCACACGTGCCGTTACATTTTGCCGGGGGCGATAGGTATGAAGAGTACTGTTCCAAAGCAGGGCTAGTGACTAGTGAAAAGGCAATGTACTTCAACAGTACCAGCTGCCGGTCCGTCTCTCAAGCGCAAAAACGTGGTCAGGTCATCCCCTGGCCCATAAAAGCAACCCGGCACTCTGGTTGCTCTAAGGGAAACCACCGGGTCCCCATAGCAATTTAGAGACCATCTCAAAATGTTGGTTTCCTGAAAAGAAGGCCCCCGGAAATTCTGATTTGCCTTGGGTTCCCAACAGGCCACCCTTTCCTGGGGGTGGATGGTCCCTTCAGAGTGACTCCGGCGCTGCGGAGTCAAAAGGGGGGATATGGGCACCAAGTGTTCGTTGCCTGAAATCAAGTGGGGTTTTTCCCCCAAAAAGTTGAGCACTTTTTGCAGGGGGGTCAAACGGCAACCACGCTATGGGCACCAAGTGTTCGTGGGTCGAAATCAAGCCCGAGGCCTGGTCATCAACTACGCGGACCCCGCGGTGGCCGCGGGCACCGCCGTGCTGGGCTTGGGCCTGGTGGTGCTGCCGCTGCTCAGCAAGCTCAACAAGCTGCAGGAGCCTCCGACGGGAAATCGGTGGAAGGAGCCCCAGTTGCTTTGGCCCCCTAGCAAACCACCAGCTGGATGGTTTAGAAGGGTCATTCCATTCCTTCCCTGCCTAATGTTGGCCCAGGATTGATAAACCCGTCGCATTACAAGGGGGGTGGTCCGTCCAAAAGTGGTCTGAATCCCCACTAAAAGAGGATAAATCAACCAGGGGTTTGTTAATCCGGGGGTGAACAATACTGTGGATGGAGGAAATCCACTTAGGCACCACCTAACTTTGGTGCATTTTGCTAAGGGATGTTAGGACTTAAACTTTTTGTTGCCAACTAATGGGCTTTCCACTAAACTACTAAAAGTTAAACTTTTAGCAGGGGAGCAAAAAGCAACCGAGCCAAGAGACCCTAGAATGATTCGATTCCCCTGCAAATACCAACATATACCAACAAACAATGGTTTCCCATTGTTTCCAAGTGGTGCAGGATTTCGTCCATCCACAGTAGGGAGAGTCGCCCCCGGATTAAGAAACACCCTGTTAATATGCGGGTGGGGGCCCCTGCCAAAGTGATCTGAATCCCCACGAAAACCAGATACATCCCCATAGGCTAATAAAGTTTTTGCAGGGGGGTCAACAGCAACAAAGGGTCCCAGACCCTTTCTTCACCAGCCACTGGTTCGGGTCTTCTTCATTTGAAGCACGGTCAGAATTTACGGAAAAGGAACGTAGTCTACACTTGGACATCCATATAGCTCAAGGTGCTTGAAACGATGGAAAACGATAGGGGACTCAAAAAACGAATAGGATGTCAACATTATGAAGCAGAATGTGAGCATATGATTTGTTTACTCAGAGTTGGGTCAAGCTTTGACCAAAATGACCAAAGTGGCAATGCAGCAACCTTTCCCTCAAACATCTTGCAACTACATGGCGTGGTTGGCGCACAGACTCCGGGTCAATGCACATGTTTTATCCTCCAAGGAGGACCTTCAAAGAAGGCTTGGCTTCCATGTGCTACGTTCACGCAGCCAGACAGGGCCAAGAGGTTTCAGGTTTCCGAGCGCTGAGGGAAACCTGAAAGGGGCATGTGAACAGGCGCTCGATACCTTTTCCTGCTGGTGCGATGGGCAATGAGGGAATGACCCTTTTAAACCATTTTTGGCGGTTTCCTTTAAGGCAACCCCTGGGTCATGCCCAGATTCCCTACAAATGGCGCCAACAAGCTTTCAGTATGTCGCACCCATCAGGACGAGGAGACCTTTAGGTACCCCCCGCACGGAGAGACGCCGCTCTGCTGAGTTAGCCGCAGCATTGGCAGTCCAAATTCCAGATTCCTAATTGGCTGCTTTTTTTCTGGGTCAAAAAATGGGTGGTTTTCCTTTTGGTCTCCCTTTACAACGTAAAGCAGGTAGCCACAAAAGCCGAGCCACACTGGGGCTTTGGGGTTTGTGCTGTCTGCAACTTCTGACCTGGCCAAGCTAAAGGGCAACTCTACGTCTTTTTGAGGCGGCAACAGGAAGATCTGGGAAATCCGGTTGCATGGAGATGTGGAGATGTGTGTGTTGTCACAAGATAGGTTAGTTTGTTTCAAGAACGTCTCCAAAGTGAGATATCCTATCTATGTTTACCAGCCTTCGTGCTTGAAGATGACTCCAAGATAGGGTTTTCGCTTCCAGTCAGAGCATCTCCCGGCACTTTGCCTGGAGGCTTTCCCACAGATCTAGGTTCCGTGTTTGAGGTTTCTTGTGTCTATAGTGCCAACTGTAGCGGAGAGCCGGTGAACAGATTTTACCTTGGAACCTGTCTGACTAGGTTCCCCAGTAGTGCCCTTTCACCCTTTCTTGGTTGGGAGGGCTCCCCTACTACAATAGCCTACAGAAAAAATCGGTACCCTTATTCCAACCTCTCGACTGGAGGACCTATCTGAAGATTCTGAAGAACCGCCAGATATGATCCCTTCGCGTGAGGAATCACCTAGGGCACAGCTTGGCTTCAAGTACACCTGATGGCCTGGTGCCAATCTGTGTACAGTGGGCGTGAGTTTATTTTTACAGATGCCTCCCCCCGGTACCTTCACGTGAAGACCTTATGGATTGCAGGAGGTGAGGTTTCCTCCTGCATCATAGGAGTGTGCTTCTTTTTGAGGGTGCCCCCTCTTTGTTTGGTGGCTTTAAAGGGAACCGAAAAGAATACCCACAATTTTGAGGGGGTCTCCCAACCAAAACAGACCCACATCACGCAGTGCCTTCTTCCTAATTTTGGAAACTGTCATCGTATCTGATGCGCCAGGATGCATTTCCAGGGTTTGTTTGTCCACGTGAGTCCATGCCACTTGCTTTTTCAGGGCTTTCTACGTACCGTGCGTGGAATATTCCCAACGCGAAGTGTCCAAGTACAGCTTTTGAGGAAGGTTTGTGAAGGGGTTGACATGGGTCATACTGTGGATGGACGAAATCCTGCACCACCTAAGAAACCCCGGAATGATGAATCCCCTGCAAATACCCATGAACAATGGTTTCCCATGGTTTTCAAGTGGTGCAGGATTTCGTCCATCCACAGTATGGCACCTTGTTAGAAAGTACCTGGACCCGGATGCGGAATGGTAGTTGCTTGGAATTGGGGTAACTCCAAGGGGGGGGGATCCCTTCTGACCATGGTTTTTGACTTACTTGCGCGGGATGAACATCCAAGTACCACTGGGTGTACATCTCTAGGAGGAACCCTTCCAATGGGGGAACCCCTTCGCTAGCAGGTAAACATGAGCACCAAAAGGAACAGCAAGACCACCACACAGGCCAAAATTGAAAAACCACACGGAAAATACCAATTTATTTTCATTTGGCCACCCCCAAACTCCCCAAAAAGGTCGCTCACTCGGTGCTCAGATATCCGGATTCGATCGTTCGTTCCTGGGTGGGGGTCCTAGACCACACGAAAAGACCCCAATCCCTTCTATGGGGGGGGTTCCTAGACCACCACCTGCCCTTTTTCTTTACCCGAGGAATCCCAAGCAGCCGCTGCGGCTCTTCACGGAGTCGGAGCTGCGTCAGCGGCTGGGCACGTTGGACGCCGACTGCGTGGCCAAAGAAATCGCCATGAGCACCGAGGAGTTAGATGAGCACATGGAGGCGAGCGGGTCTGAGAAGCCCCACCCCCCTACAACATCCCCTAGCTTCCCTTTTTTGTTGTTTTGCTTTTTTAGGGGTCCCCTTTGTTTTCCACCAACCAGGCAAAACATATCGTTTTTTGCTGGGCCCTAATTTCAGCCAAGACAAATGGAATGGGGGCAATTTCGACTCCTGGCCCTGAAGATCTCCATCGTTAGATAAATGGAATTGCGGACCCCCCACCCTCCCCCCAGGGAGCGGGTGAGCCACTGGGGTCAAGTTACACCAACTAGCAGCCGGATCCTGACGTGAGGGAAAAGGTCGCTTGAAAAGGAACATGGTGAGCATCCCCCACCGGGTCCCTTGTTGTGGCAACTCATTTCCGTATGGGGAAGACTGGATATATTATGGAATTGGGGACCCCCCACCCCCCTTCCCCTTTAGGGTGGGGCGATTCGTGAGCCACTTGTGTGTTCTTGCCAAGTTACTAAGTGGTTTGCCTAGGATATAACCCGCTGAATTGAAAACCTGGCCAGGGGGTTATAACCAAAGCCGCTCGCAGGGCTCTCAGTTGCTCAAAGCGAATCGACCCTTCAACCTTTTGCTTCTCCGATGGTCCATTTTCAGTGAAGAGCACAAAAGCTTCGCCGTTTATTTCCAGCGCCTTTGGGCAATGTGAGTACCAACTGGGTAGCCTAGCTTCTGACCCACTGAATTGACAACCACAATCGCTGGCCGTTTAACTTGGCCGCCCATCCACGCAGAGGGTATAGATAGGCAACCTATCCTTCCATTTGCTTAAGAATATTTTATATTTTCCCTTGTTGGTTTTAAAGGGAATCTATCACTACTGGAACTATGTTTATTTTTCCAGGGGGCTTAAGCAAATGGAAGTATCCATACCCGCAGTACGTGTGCAAGCGCACGTATCCGGTTGCTGTTTTAGCGCGCAGCACCGGGTTTGTGGGCATTGCCCACTTGTGTGATACCACTGCAATGGAAGGCCCTATGACAACAACCCTGCCGGGCCCAGCAAACTCATGTCGACATGTTTATTTAGAAGCTGTGTTCTTACATGTCCCTTTCAAACAGAACTCCAACCAAAGGATAGCAGCAGGGTATGTTGCAGCAACTGCATATTGGCCCCTTGCACCATCTTGCACCGAGGCACCTCCGTTTTTGCAAGCCCCGCTGCTATAAGGCACCAAGTTGCAACCCAAAACAGGCGGCAACCCAGGAAGTTCGCCAGGAAAACGCCTTCCATTTGCTGAAGAGAACATGTGTTATGTTCCCTGGTTGGTTTTAAAGGGAATCTATCACTACTGGGGGCATACTGTTTCATTTGTTGTTTTTCCAGGGTGACTCGATGCTGAACATCTCACCTGGGCAGAGTGGGCAGACCTACGTAAGCCCCCGTCCGCTTCATTTGCTTGTAAATATCCCTCGATTTGTTTGCAGTGTCATGCCAGCTGGTCAGGCCTGCGGTATGGAGGAGACAGATGACGAGGCCGTTCTGGCGTAATCGCTTGGCCTCACTGCGTTTGGTTGCCGTTGGGCATGGACTCCCCAAAATATCTACAGCTGCCGCTGCTTCCTTTTTACCATCCCAAGGAACGGCGCACTGCCATGTTGGTCTGTCTTTTTGAGAGGGTGCCCGTTTTTTTGGAGGGTGTCAAACGAACATACGCCTTCAATAGGGGCTTCAATCGAAAATACCCGTTTTTGTAGGGTTTTTCCAAAGAAAGTACATGAACATACACGGCAGGCACTCGGCGATTTTTTCTGCCTCAGGTGGGCCGCATCCAGAAGTGGCGGGACTCGGTGAACGCCAACCTCCGGAGCTTGCAGCGTGGGCCCCGATTCGGATTCACCGCTTCGGATTCACCGATTCGGAGTCTCCATTTTTGTTTTGTTCCTTTTTTTTCTTCCATTTCGCCTGACGAAATGGGCCCATGGCGGGGTTTGTCTTATCTTTGGGTTGGGAGGGGGGGGGGAGGGGGAGGAAGCCTGTGTTGGGCTGATTGAAAACTGAAGCCAACAACTCGACTTCTCGGGGCTCTGAGTTACCCTTTGTGGGCTGGCTAAAAAAAGGGGGGTTGCGCGATTTTTAAGGATACCAATGAAGCATTTTGGGGTGCCCCGTCTCAGACCACGCAGAGCACCGGCGATTGGTGGTTATTCTCAAATCGGGTTTCATCCGGGGGGTGACATGGTGGGTTGCAAGATTGGCGTGCAACCGGACTCCAGACCCTAAGGGGAACCAAAAGGAGGTTTAAACAACAATGGGCTCCTGAAGAGCAGACCCCCTAGTTGGTTTTGAGAGCTGTGGATGTCCCCTTTTTGTAGGGATTCAGCACTTTTGGAGGGAACACTCCCTTTGTTGCTAATCCGGGGCCAACAGTGGGTGTTGAAACATGTTTAAACAAGGGGTCGGTCCAATTGTGGCGCAAGGACCATGCCAGGATGTGGCCTGGTGTTCCACAACATCCATCATGAACAACCCCACAATAAAGTGGTTCAGTTCGTTTGCCACGAACAGATGCACGGCCTGCATTCTGACCACTCAAAGATGTGAAATCCTAGCAGAAGGCAAGCCGCCTCAAGCTCCAAGGAAGCGGTCAGCACTCGCCTTTTTGGGCCTGCCCCCTGACTCGGGGCAGAATGCGACCTGGCATGGGCTTGAGCAAGCTCCTGAATTATTATGTTGTTTGCTCGTGTTTCTCTTTGTCTCTCTTTGTCTTTCTCTCGCTCTCTCTCCGACTGTTTGGCTGTTTGCCTGCCTGCCTGGCTGTCTGTTTGTTTGTTTGTGTGGTTGTTTCTCGTCTTTGTTGGTTTGCACTGCAACACGCTGGTTAGCTCTCGTGATGAGACTGAGCTAAAACAAGCTACTTGTTTCAGCGCCTGAGGGAGGCCCTTGCCAGTCAAGGGGCAAACGGCAAGGGGTCACTTCTGGCCGGGCAACACAATTTTATATTTGAGCCAACCAGCCACACGCTGCGCATTTGGGGTCATTTCCATCCAGAGCCAGACGAACCTTTGCCGCGGGCCATGGCTGGTAATGGCTTTGTGGGTCGAAATGTCCCTGCCTGTTCGGAAGGAGGTGTCAGTTGTGTTTGAGGGGGGGGGGTTGGTGCTTGACATGAATTGGCCCTTTTGGTATGTTATTTGTTGTGGAGTCCATGGCCTCACACAACCCTTTCCGGCCGTTGTTTTTGTTTGGTTAATATGTTGTTTTGCGGGGTCTATGGTGGTTTTGACCACCGGCTTTTTCGGCCGTGCCTTTTTTTCGGGGGAACGGGTGGAGTCTAGAATTCATAGGGGTCTCTCTGGGCGTCTCTGGGTCTGTCTGGTTGGTTGAGGACATCAACGCCATGTACAAGAAGATGGCCTTGGAGCTCCACCCGGACAAGGGCGGGGACCCCGAGAAGTTCCAAGAGCTCCAGGAGATGAAGGCGACATGCGACGCGACGACCGCGCCGCGCTCCCGTTCGCCCTTTTCGAGCGAGGTTCTGAGCTGAGCGACTGGAGGGGGGTTTGGGGGATGAGTGGCTTTGGGGGTTTTGGGGGTTGAGTGGCTTGGTGGGGGTTTTGGGGGCTGAGTGGCTTTGAGCCGCCTTTTCGCAGTTCGCGGTTCGAAGCTGAGCGACTGGCTTGGGAGGTTTTCGGGTTCGTTCGCGAAGGGGGGGTGGGGGTTTGAGTGACTTGGAGAAGGTGGGGGCATGTTGTTTTGTTTCGGAAGCCCAAGAAGAGCCATTTGTTAGTTAGTGGTTCCTTCCAAGGGAATTTGCTCATTCCCAAGGTTTAATTGCAAGGTTTTCTCTTGGTTTCCTGGAGTTGGTTCATTGCCACAAGTGGTCTGTCGCACCGAGCTAGCACGCAGTGTATGACCAGCTGGGAAAGGTTCCCAGGCGAACAGCTAGCTTAACGCCATGTTGAACAAAGGTTTGGGTTATGACTCACTTGCAGACGATGAGGACAGATACGGGCGCCCCAATTGAAGTACAACAGGAGCTAGATTTTTCATATTCATCTTGTTGCTCTCCAGGCAGGGCATACTTGTGATGCCCTTACAACAAACCCCCTGCCACCGCCTGAGAAGGGCTTGCCAATGAAGATCCCCCTTTCTTTTCGCATGATGGTTCGCGGAAACACTCTCGTAGACAAGAAAAGCAGGGGTTGTGGACCCAGTCGTGTTGGCAGGAGGGTGATATTCATGGTCTCCCTTAGGTCAAAGACCAGTCAGACAACTGAATGAACCGTAGGAACCGTGGCGGTTTCGGGCCTGGAAGCCAGATTCCCAGGCTTAGCGTTGATGAATTTCTGCTCTATTCTAGATATGTGTCAAAACTAGGGACCCCCCATTTGGCTGGCTTCATGCTTTCCATTTGCAGTCCCACAAAGGGGGACCCCATAAATTGGCACAGACACGTACAGCTGAGCATTGCTCCAGCAAGACCATTCGAGTGGTTGGGTGCGTACCCTGTCACCCACCAATTCTTTCAGGCAGGGGCAGGCGGCCAACACAAAATTTCATCCGTTCAGAAGCCAGCGGATGGCCATTTTGTGAATTTGGCTTGGCCAGCCAGCGTCTCGACCGAGCTTCACTCAGCTTAGTTGCATGCGCTCTCCCCTTGTTGTTTTGGGGGACTGAGATTTACTGTGATGTTTAATTCCCTTAAGCAAGAATGGAGGTTGACAAGGCGGCCACCAGTAGCCCCCTTGACGCGGTTCCGCAAATTAGGTGAACATGTTGGAATGGACCAGATTGCTTAAATGACAATTTGCGCGATAGTGTCGGTATGGTTCGGCACGCAGCAGCGGTAGTATGCTCACTGCAAAGCGGCACAGGTTTGGCACAAGGTTTGCTACCAAATATGAGTTTCCTTCTTTGGTCAAATGGATATGTTGCAAGTGTTCATGCAACCCCTTTAAAAAGAAGTGCCTTCAATGCACACCCGCCTCCCCGGCATTTTGAAAGATGCGTGCGTGCTGCTTGCACTCAGACGGGTTCGCTCCAGTGAAGATCGGCTAAACCCTGTCAGTGTCCATTAGCTTACCTCTTAAAAACACAGCTTTTCAACTTTTTGGGGGTAACATGGGCTATATGTCTGTAAAATATTAACTTCCCCAGGGCTTGGAGTTTATTCTAGATCACCTTTTCGGATGGCTCTTGCTTCCCCAGCGGGTGGAAGCATGCGTGGTGGATCTCCTGCCCTTAGCTTTCCACTTCGGATCCCGCCTGGTTGCCACGGCCTCAAGGCTTTCAATAGGGCGGGGGAATGTCCTTCGAGCACGGTCGCGTACATTTGATCAGGAGCGCCTCACGGAAATCGAGAAAGAGGAAGGAGGGGATGACAAAAAGGACGTGGACGATCCAGAAGAAGAGGACTGTGGCGGGTTGTAAGCATCGGAGCCCTTTCCCTCGTCTGTTTTGCGCAGGTGCCGCGTTTTTGCCTGGGTGCTTCGAACGTTCGGGGGGGCGGGGGGTTCCCTTCCATCAAATCTGCCCAAAACCTTTCCGCATTTGCACACGGTCCTCAGCAACATGGAACCTCGCAAGGGGCCTGTCCCTTAAGGAACATGGCCCTTTGGAGGGGCTTTCATTCAGGTTTCACGCAGGAAGGGAGGGTAGGGAGGGAGTAATTCAGAGATGCAGGCATGCATGGACGGACGGGCAGGCGCACGGATGAACACATTGCTTTCTGACTTGTGGGGGCCACCCGTGGCTTGACTCATACGACTTCAGCGATGTATTCCCCTCTTGGTCAGTCGCGCGTGTTGTCTCCTGGCTGGTCCTGTGCAAATGTCACCATTGGCTTTGGAGATCGGCGGACTCAAGCGAGATAGAGCCAACTTCAAACATTTTGTTGGTGGCTCCCAGCCATCCGGTCCCTTGGCTTTTTAGCCTTTAGTGTTTAGAGGTAGTTTCCATTTAACCCACTAAAAAAGTTAAGCTTTTAGCGGGGGAGCTGAGGGCAGCCCCGTGTTGTCAGCACCAATTCATCATGTTCCTTCTGTTTTTCGTTTGTCCAAGTACAAGGACCTGTGTGTTGAAAGCGGTTTGCGCGACGGCCATTTGGGAGCTGAGGCTTTCTGGGCCGCATGTTTCTGCTAGAAGAACTCCTGCACCACGTTGAACCCATGGCAGGTATGTACGGGGAATCGAATCATTCCGCTGGGTTTCTGCACGGTGCCTAAGAGGATTGAAGCAACCATCCACAGTGCCATGTGGTTGGCGGAGATGGCTCTCACCTCGATGACTGGCAGCATGTTGCTTTCAGGAGGCAAAGAAGCAGAAGGAGAAGGAGGAGGAAGAGGAGAAGAACCGCACCTGGTCAGAAATATATGTTGTTCTTTGTTGAGGGCATCGTGTTTTGGAGGATGGTTTCAAAGGAACACAAAAAGGAAAGCCCACCATGCTGGCGTTCCCCAATTTTGACACACAGCCAAATCGGCCGAACCGATGGTGCAAGATACATGGGAGCTTGCCTGCCAAGCCTGGGCTCGCGACATGGACCAAGGGATCGCCCAGCAAAAGTGTATCCTGAGCGACCATGGCACATTGCCCAGTTCGCTTGCGGCCCATCTCTCTCACTCGGTTGATTGTTTGGCAGGCTCTTCATTGATTTATTTATATTGAGCAAGGGCGCAGCAAAGGCGAATTTAGCGTCACGCAAAGAAGTTGCGAAGACTGGCCAGACATTATCGCAAACTGCCAACTCTTGCACGCGCATGTGAGGCGTCAACACCATGTAGGTGTAAGTGAAATGTCTAGACTCTCTCTCTCTCTCTCTCCAGAGTCATTCTCGCAAGCAATTTGCATGGGACCTTTGCACAACCCCCCCTGCCAAATGCTAGAACCGTGAAATCGGTTGGGACTCACAAAGCTTCCGTGAATGCGTTTGGATCCCATCTCGTCCGCCTGAGTCACTGAGGCCTGCCTCCCAATGAGCGCATCAAGAAGTTGCGCATGGACGTGCATGACAACACGGTGCGCTTGTGGGAGAAAGCCAAGAAGTCCAGGGACGAGATCGTGGGCGAGAAAGCCCTGCAGCTCGGCGTGCATAGGTCCAGCCCGTGCTTGCAAGTGGGCTGTGAAGCCAACAGCAAGCTCGAACCGGCCAATTGTGATTTCATGGATGTGACGATTTTTCGGCGACGGGCTTTTGTACGGTGTATGTTTGTTCTTGACATTGGCCATGAGGCATGGGGTACATGTTCCAACCAAATTCGCGGTATTTCTGCAACACACAGCCTGAGGAAGGTCAACGCGCAGCCGGCCTTGAACATTCTGCGGCTCTTCGTGGACCGCTTTGTGACCAACGAGATCAAGACCTTACGCCGCTTGATCTGAGCGAGGTGACTCGAAGCTGTTCGGTGGGTGTGTGGTTTAGTGACGGCCCCTTGGGCCATTTTTTAGTTTTTCAGCTTGCCTCCCAGTGGTCTTGACAACAACCAAGCACCCGTCGAAGGGCCGAGGGCCAGTGGGCTAGGCACGGACGGATAAAATGGGCGACATTTGGAAGAGGCGGTTGCCCAGGTGCGTCCATAGGCTCAGAAGGAGCGAGCGTGTGTAGGCACGCTGGCAAAGATGTTCTTTGAGGAATCTGAGGTTCAAAGCCCCCTCCTACCTGGGGGGGGGTCACCAGACACTTTCATAATCCCAAATTCCGCAAAAGGCAGCACCTCTGAATCTAAATGGACCAGTTGAATCCATATCCCTCTTTGGACCTCCAACAGTGGCAGTTTCAATGGAACCCACCAGTTTGTTTCGACCAACTTGTGAAGGGGAAATCCAAGGACCCAATTTGTGCAGTCCAGGGGTCTCACTATTGGGCTGACAGGGAATGGCCTCCCGCGGCTCCCTAGAACTTCCGTCTATGCGAGTTCTCAGCCTCGATCTTTTGCATGAAGCATGGTCTAGCGTGTTGTTGATTCAAATGCGGGTATCCTTTTTGCGGTCAGTTTCATATTTGTTTTCTATGTGTTTTTCTCCGTGTGTGTGGTTTTTGTTGGGTTGTGGCGGTTGTGGAGATGTGTAATATTTGAGACAACCCCATCTAGTGCAACATGTTTTTTGCGGCCTCCCAGAGGCCTCCCAGAGGCCAAGCTTTCGGCGGGGGTGCGATAGCGAAGGACCAGTTGGTTTTTTTTTGTTGGGGTGATTCCAACTCCCCCGGTTGTTCAAAGACGACCTGTTGACCGTTTGGTTTTCCCTTTTTGGTCTATTTTTAGTAGAGGTCCCAAAAGGTTAACCTTTTATAAGCAGGTCCTTTGGGCAACTCCCCTGCTGATGTTTGATCTTCTGGTTTATCGGGCAATCTATCGAGGGACGCAATGAAACCATGGTTGAAACCATGAGGTTTGTTGGTATTTGGATTTCTCAGGTGCAGGTTTCAAAGGCAACTATGACGACTACTGGCCGCACACCTAAGAAACGCTGTGACAAGCAACGGTTTCCCCTGGTTGCTGAAAGTGGTGCGAATGGATTGATTTCGCCACCATCCACAGTATTTCTTGATGTGTTCCGCTGGCCTTGTTTCGCGACTGGAACAGCCAATGAATTGAACAGGTACCACTCAGTTCCTGAGTTCATGAACTTTAAACTTTTTGGGAAGACCATTTTAGTGGTAAATATCAAGTTTGGACTTTTTTGGGGCCATCCACTCAGCAAGTGAGACCAGGTGACCAGTCAGTCCAGAGCCTGGGGAGATGAGAGACTTCCACTTCGGGGCCCCAAAAATCCGAGGCCACGACGACACCAAAGGCGCCGAGGCGAAGCTGCGGAAGTTCCTGAAGCAAGGATCGGAAGGGGGAGGTGGGGATGCACCGAAGGGCTCCCTATCTTCACCCCTTTCGGGCGGGTTTATGACCTATAAAAGGGTTTCGGTTCGGTGGGATTTGCAACAGCTTGTGAAGGTTGCCAACGAGTCACCTGTCTGTCACCCAACCTAAGGCCCCGGAAAGCGATATTAGGCAGCTGAGAGCATTGTCGCTGCTTGATTTGCTTGGGGCTCCGCTACGGGGGTTCCACAGGGTCGCCTGCGGATGCAGTGGGCCATGCGGAATATGACCAGAATCCAGCTGGTTTGGACGATTCCCTTTTGGGTTGGCCTGTGGGCGGTTGCTGGGTTCGGCAAGCAACCACTTGTTGGTTTTTTATTTGCGGCTGGGTGGGAACAATGTGGTTTGGGGATCGAACTCTTGATGATTGTGGACAGCCACGCCAAACCCCCAAACCACCAAGCAAGGGGAAGCTGACAAAAGGATGTTGGTGTTGGGTTCTTGGCCAAGCGAAGAAGGTCGGATAGCGGTCCGAATGTACGAGGGTGTGCTAAATGTTGCCTAACTTATCTTGGGGGGATAGAGCAAAGCAAGCATCAAGTGATGTGGGGGGCGGTGACTTTGGGTACCATCGGGGTTGGTTTAAAGGGACGCCAACCATTTTGAGAGGTTTCCCCACTCCATCTCCACTCCCACCCAACCCCAACTCCACTCCAACCCCCCCCCCTATTTTTCTAGGGGTTGATTCCCCTTTTTTTTTCAACCATCGCTCTTTTCAAGAACCAGCTGTTTCCCCGGGGGTTCTGCTGGTTTTCTGAAAAGAAGGATCCCTGGAAAGAATGGGGAAGTGTCCCCTAGAATTTTGATACACGTCCAGGTTCCCCCACCTGTCCAATCGCGCAGAGCGATCTCCCGATCTCGAGGCGCCGAGATTTTGTGCGTGGCGGCCCTGGCGGACGTGCAGGGCACCCTCTCCACGCTGGCCATGCACTTCAACTACCGGCTCATCGCTCGAAGCGGCTCCCCGGAGCCCTCGCCGAGCGAACTGGGGCCCTGGGGGGAGGGGCGAAAGGGGGGCGAAAGGGCAGGGGAATGTGACTGGAGCCTTCGAGCGAAAGGGGGAGGGGGTGGAAGGGGGGAGGGGCATGTGACTTGCTGTTCCGTAGGTCTGGTGTTTTTTTTTATTCTGCCTATAGTGAGCTCACTTGGGTAGAACTAGCTCACCATGATAAAGGTCCTTTACTTGAGGATCCATTGATCTAGCTTTTTGGAGTTGTAATGAAATTGATGTTGATCATGGTGGAATTATGGGGCCAGCATGTTGGAACACCCCCTCTCCCACTCCACCCCACCGCCTATCGAAGCGGTGTCGCCCAATTTGCAATGCCTGAAGATGGTCACTCCCGGGTCACCGAGCAACTGGGGGCAAGCGTCGGTATTGTCAAACGGCGGTTGGGCATCTTGGTAGTTGTTGCCGGCTTCGCTTGACATCCCACCCTGCCTATCGCAGCGGTGTCGCGAAGCGAGCCGACTGAAAAAAAAGAAAACGGGACATTGAACTCCGGCTTTGCTGTTTTTTGATGTGTGTGGGTGTCCTACTGCAATCAATCTGAAGTTTGCTGCTTGGTCTGTTTTTGTTGCGTGGCGTCTCTAAAGAGCACCGCCCTTTTCGCTCTTGAAGCGACCGGGTGCTTTGGAGTCCAGGTCCCAAAAACCCAAGCCATGACCTGCCGGGAGCGGTCATGTTGTTTGCACATACTTAGTCTTGCAGATGCAAATGAAGGAACCGATCGACTGACATACTGTGGATGGACGAAATCCATTTCGCATCACCTCAGAATCTCAAAGTGGTGCAGGAGTTCTTCCATCCACAGTATGCCCTTGTGTGGCTAGAAGTATGTAGGTGCATCGCCGTCAGGTCTGAAGATATACGTCATTTTTGCTCTCCTAGCTACTCCAATATACACTTCCAACAACAATCATGGAAACTGAAAGCGGCCGCGCTGGCTTGCACAATTCTCCCCTAAAGGGGGCGGCGCTCATTCAGGCTCCTTGTTCGTTTGTTCAGGGCCAACTGAACATTCGATGCTTTAAGCATCCAAAAGCAATGTAACAAACAAATGGAACACCAAAAAGGTAACATCCTGGTTGCCTACCAAAGTGGCAGCTGGGATCTTTTGAACGTTTTGATCCCCTTAGTTGTTTTCTTTTGGGGCGGCAGGGGGGCAAGGGGTGATGTGCATTTGAGGCACGTGTTTCATGAACTCACCAGACATTCTAGGGGTTGATTCCCCATTCTTTTCAACCATCGTTCTTTTCAAAAGCCATGATTTTTCGGAGGTTTTCTAGAAAGAAGGATCCCTGGAAAGAATGGGGAAGGTATCCCTAGAGACATCCTCCGGACAACCGCCGGAAATTCGAGGAGATCAAGACGAAGTGCGCCTCCTTGCTGGAGGCCGTGGGAGAGGTGCCTGCCACAGTGGAGCGCTTCCTGCAGAAGCGCCTCGCTTCTTATTCACTCTCCTGAATTGGCGGAGGTTCCCCGATATTTCCCGCTTTCATAGTTTCAATCCGCACCCTCCAATGAAGATGAGTTTTTTTTGTGAGGGGTGTTTCTCAAAAGATTGAATTTCCAGCGATGTGGGGAAGGAGAAGGTTCCCTGCAATGCGATCCCAGATTAGCCCATGTACTTGCGCAAAGAAGTGAATCCCTGAAATCGAGTGCTTTACTAATCCGGGGTAAACATTATTCATCCCCCTTTTTTGATGTTGGTCAGGTTTTTGGCCAGAGGTGAGTTTTTGTTTTCTGGTAGGGGCGATGTCTGAGTGGGACACAGAAAAAAACACTTTGTAGGCCTGCTGCATTTTTTTTGTTGTGTAAGTACGCTAGGTTTGTGCCAAGAACACGGAACTCGCTGAAAGTCTCCGGGACGCAGCTTGAACGTCAAATGTTCGGCAAAACTGAGCGGTGACCGCCCTTCTCAGAACCGTTCTGAACCTATCAGGGCTTGACAATTCATGTTTCCACTATCGGCTGGCGCCTCAATCGAGTTCGGCAGAGGCCATCGGACAGACCCTTCAAGCCGCCCTGTCCACCCTTCAAGTTGAAGTGGGGCACACTCAATTGTGTTCAAACCATCGTTTAGATCGGGGTTGGCATGCCGATTCAACCGCAGTTTGGGCGTCCCCCCAACCTCAGAACCACGAGGTTGATAATATGGTGTTTGGGTTTGTTTACGCCTCTACTCTTGGGTGCGAGTCTGGGCGTTTGGGTGCTTGTCGGCAAGATTTGGCTCCCAAAAGATCTTTTCGGCGTTTGCCTGTACAGCGCTCATACCCAACCACATGTGCACACCTATGAAACCAAACGCAACACAACCATTTGGGGGTTCAAATTCTTCAGATATACACAAAACAGCATTTGGCCGTGGCCCCCGTGTTTTTAACCAGTGCTTGTCTTCCATTTGCTGAAATGAACATGCTTTATTGCCCCCTCTTCGATTTAAAGGGAAGTTACTACTGGAAATGTTGTTCTCATTTGTCCATTTTTTCCAGGGGATGAATGCAATGGAAGTTCAGTCGTGTTCCAGACGTTAAGGTGGATCTGGAAAACCAACAGAAAAGTCATTGTTTTTATTTTTTCGCGGGGGGTCTCCATTTGTTTACATCGGGTGCTACCTGGCATCCCTTGTAGGGTCCACATTTTGAGCCCCATTTGTTCGACATGACTTAAACAGAGCTGGTTGCCCCTTTGGGCATGGGTAAAATGATGTCTTCCTTGGGTGAATCGACCAGATCTCTCCTCTCTCTTCGATGTGAGGGCCCCCCAAACCCCCAAACAAAAACAGAAGCGAGCGGTTTCCCCCAGAGAAACGGACTCCCCCAAGAAAGCCAGTGCCTCCGAGCCATCCGGTTCCTGAGCTTCTTAGCCGCTTAGTGTTTGGTGGCAGTTTCCGAATTTAACCCACTAAAAGTTAGTCACTTGTAGGGGGGGATCAGAAAACGGGCAGCCCGGAAAAGAAAGCTTGCGGATTGGTGATTTGGAGTGGTTTGGGGATTGCCCCTGGTTCTGGAGGGTAGCTAGGTCCAGTAGTGCCCTTTTGCCACCTTTTTTCGGGGAGGGTTCCCCTACTAAAGCAGACTACAGAAAAATATCGGGCACCCTTATTCTAACCTCACAAATCTGGAGGACCTAGACTGACAGTCAAACCTTGGATGCCAATCCCAACCACGCAGGTTGCTCCAATGACCAAATGCCCCAAAGGGCCTCACAAAACACCGCGCCTGGGAATGATCTTACTCTGCTTAGCCACACCGAGAGCAAGCAGCAGTCCCACTGATGACATCAGCAGTGCGACACATCGCAACACCGCGCCGGGGAATCGTCTCAGGATGGAGGCCGACCTCTCGGAGCAGAAGGACCGGGACAAGCGCCGCAAGGAGCAGCGGGCGGCGGAGCAGCGGCGGCGAGAGGAGCGGGGGGACTACAGCGGCGAGAAGGGCCGCTCAGCTGTTGTTGTTTTTTTCTTCCCGGGGGGGAGGGGAGGGATGTATGTATACATATATATATATATGTATGTAAAATAATTGTTTGTTTTCTCTCTTTGTTTATTGGGGGCGGGCAGGGGGGGAGGGATGTATGCTTATATATATATATAGATAAGTTAGTACGTTTAACAACACAAACAAGAAACATAGGCAAGAAGGGTTGTTTGGGACCCCCATGGAAATTGGCCATGGGGGTCTTGTGTTGTTTTTTGTTTTAATATTTATATATATATATATATATACACGTAACAACAATCAAGAAGAGTGGTCCGGGACCCCCTACTACTTAACATGGGCCATGGAGTTGTTTTTTGGCTTTGGGGGGGGAGTAGCCTTTGTGGGCTACAAATGAACCTGGGCACTTGTGTTGCCTTTTTTTGGGGTACCCATTTTGGGGTGGGACTACAAATTAGCCTGGGGGTCTATGTGTCTGCATTTTTGAGGGACCCTACAAATTATCCTGGGGGCCTATGTTCTCGTTTTTTCTTTCTTTGGTGGGGGGGTACGCCTTTTTTTGGGAGTCCATGTGAATCTGTGAGTAATTTTGTGGGTTTCGTAAAGAAGCGGTTCCCTGACATTTTCCTATGAGGATTCTAGGTTAGGACGGGCCAGCCTTCATGTTGAAGAGCCCAGCTTTTGCTGCTCAAGTTACTGTCCCAAGAATAAGCATATGCCCCTGCATAGGTGTCGCTGGAAGAACATGTAGGTTTGATTTCGAGGCCTTTGGGTAGGTTCCAAGTTGCTCAGCGAGTCTGGGTCCCTTGAAGTGACACCCTGAGTCTTCGCCTCTAAACTGTTCAAGGGAACCCGCCCCACGAGTGATTTTGAGAACCCCCTCAAGATGTTGTTCACAGAACTTCCCTGATTCACATGGAGTATTAAAAAAGGCTCCAGAAAGGAGTGTCAACAAAAACTCATGGCTTCCTAGGTACTAGGCTCATTTGCACGAGTGTGTAAGAGACGATTGTTTGGTCTGGCTGGCTATCAGCGATGAGCACATGAGCAAGATGCTCATTCCACCACAAACCAGTCTCCTCCGTTTTGGCATGCAACCAGGGCGCTTCCCATAGCAGTGTGTTGCTTTCTCAAGCTTGGCTGAGAATAGCTTGGCTCGTACCTGCTTGAGCCCGGCTCTCATCGTTTACCAGTTCACCAAGTCGGCTCACCAGTGACATGTCAAGTTCTGGAGGGCTTGGGCGTGGGCCAGTCCGGTTTTTTTTGGGGGGGTGTACGACATCAGAATTTCTTGGTCTACATATTTCGCCTCTGGAATCCGCTAGGTCCCTGGGTGTCAAGCGCGTGCGTGTGTTTGCTGTACTTTTGGGTGCGCACACACGCAGAGAGGGGGCCACTTGCCTCCCCTCCCCTCCCCTTAACTGGGCGACTTGAGGCGAAGAGGGCAAGGACAGCAAGGACGGTGTGAGGGATATGGCCGGAGGGCAGATGGATGAACCGATGAACCTAGGCCTCTTACGAGTTATATTGTGGATGGATGAAACCCTGCACCGGCTCGGATGTATGAAATCCTGTGCATAACGGGATGTTCATCCACAATGGGCGGTTGCAGTACCCTTGGAGGATTGAGTATTTGAATACCAGATAGCTACAGGAAACGTGCTTCCTCGCAAGGGCCTGCCAGGGAACGGCTCGGAAGCTGTGCGCCTCCAACTTCTTTTGCGGAGTTTGGGTTGAACAACCGTTCCCCTTGCAAGAGGCCACATGACTTGCTGGTTCGATGGGCAGGGAATGAGAAAAGGAACCAATCCAACTGGTGGTTTCCTGTATTTAGGAAGCCCCAAATACGGTTCATTCCCAACACCCCTCAGCATTCCCTACCTGTGGCACCAGCAAGATGATGCATCAGACAACTTCCTGGTTCCCCTAAGGGTCGTCCGGGCCTTGGGGCATTTTCTGAACCAGGCGTCGCCTGGTTACCCTGGTTTTGTGATCATAAACGTCAACTCACTTGCCCAAAGCCGACCTTTTGACCTTTTGGTTTTCCCATTTTGGTCCATTTTTAGTAAAGGTTCCAAAAGGTTAACCTTTTATTTCCAGGTCTCTTGGGCAAGTGAGTCAAAAGGGTGCTTTTTTTTTTCGGGGAGACTCTAAAGATCCTGAAGATCATGTTGCTTGGCCCTTAGCTTTTTAGCCTTTTAGTGTTTAGTGGTAGTTTCCATTTAACCCACTAAAAGTTAAGAACTCTTAGCGGGGGATCCGAAAACGGGCAGCCCAGGTTGGTGAGACTCCATATGGCTGGTCAAAACCAATGGTGCCATGTTGGCGTAGGTGCACCACCCATTTTAGGCTTCCTATTTTAGTGGTCGGATTGAATCGGATGTTCACTGGGGGTACGACTTGGATTTTGAGCCATGGCCATATTGCCTGGGAAGCCAAAGTCGTATGGGTTCCAAGTCAAGTCGGGTGTTGTTCCGGGCGAGGAGCCGGACAAGCCGAAGCCCAAGGCAGAGCCGGCGAAAGCGCCCGGCTACCCGCGGCTCGGGCACCAGACTTTTGGACACACCAAGGGATGTTTGAAAGGAATGGACGTTGAAAGGAAAGGGATAGGGAGAGTCTCTGTGACCCCCGGATGAAGAACCCCCCCGTTAATACTGTGGATGCGAAATCCGTTCGCAACACTTGGAAACCATGGTTGTCACCATCACGGTTGTTGGTATTTACAGGGGAATCACACCATTCCAGGGTCTAGCAGCTGGTGCAGGATTTAGGCAATCCACAGTATTGGGCTGGATCTTTAGACTTTAACTTTTTGGTTGAAATCAAGCTGGGTTTTCCACTAAACCCCCCAAAAAGTGATTCACTTTTTGCAGGGGGGTCAACAGCAACCAAGCAACTTGGACACGTCAAGAAGCAGGTGACCAAACCTCTGGGTAGCTTCCCTGTTGTGAAGATTTTGTTTTGGAGGGGGCTTCTCTTGAAAATTTATCTCTCTTTCTCTCTCTCTCTCTCTCGCATCAGAGGTAAGCTCCTCGCAGCACCTTAGCAAAGCAAACAATAATTTAGGCCGCAAAACGGCGCTTCCCTTGAAAATCAACTGCAACAAGAACGAGTGCTCTTGTTTTCTGTGGCCACTGGTTTTGGTTTACCCCATCAGGTTTGCCACAATGGCAGGCCATCCCTTTGGTTTTCACGCGGCTCCCTTATGCAGATGCTTGGGGCGGACTGAAGATCCTTCGGAATGCAACCCGGCGAATCATTCGGTCGGAATGGCTAGACCTTAGCTGCGCATTAGGGGCAAGACTCCGCAGGCTTGTGGAAGGGTGTTCACTTGATTTCACTGATTCATTGTGTGGAAGCTTGATGAACGCATGCCTCCTGGCCTTGCTGGTTTTTGACTATATTCTGCATAGCACCCCCCAAAGCCGCGTCAAAGCTCGTCGCATCAGGAAGCCGAAGAGCGACCCCTTTGCGGATTTCGACTTCAAGGAGCCTCCAAAGGCGAAGCCGGCAGCGAAGTCGGCCACGAAGCCTTCCGAGGCTCTGGCAGAGAAAAAGGAGGATGACCGGACGCAGATACAGGCGGCGGTCAAGCAGAAGAGGACCCCTGCTGCAAGGGCTGCGAGATGTTGTGACTTTTGGGAGAGGGCTGTAGAGGGCCCTTTGTGTTCCAAGATCAGCAAGACTTTTTGGAGCGGACTCCTGTGCGATGAGAGCAAACCAGCCAACCGACCGACTGACCGACCAACCCACATCCACCAACCCACCCACCCACCCACCCACCCACCCACCAACCAACCAACCAACCAACCAACCAACCAACCAACCAACCAGCTTCCACAAAGAAGTTGAATCGATCCTCTTTGCTGCTTTCTGCGACTTTCTCGTCGCACCCCTGGCAGGACCACCTGGGACGCCTCCTTCGACCACCCCTACGCTGGGGCGCTGAAATCCAACGGCACGGGGATCTACTGCCGGCCCTGCCAGAGATGGATCGTCACCTACGAGCTGCCCGGATCCATCCGTCATTATTTTCTTTGGTGCATTTTGCCAAGGGATGTTAGGACTTGAGCTTTTTGCCAACTAATGGGTTGTCCGTACTAAACCACAAAAAGTTATTCACTTTTAGCAGGGGGGCAAGAAGCAGCCCAGTTTTTCCGGCGGCCCCAAAAAACCGAACCTCACTTCCTGAGTTCATGAACTTTAGTCACTTTGTTGGGGTTGGACCATTTTAGTGTTAAGAGTAAAGATGTTTTTTTTGGCCAGTCCCCCAAAAGGATCCTTTCCTCTCAACATGATTTTTTTGTTTCCTTTTAAAAAAAATGTTGAAGGGAGTAAGGTCGGCCTGTTTTCGTGTGCACTTTGGCTTCAAAGCGTTTTATTGTTTCAAGTTATTTTGGGACGAAAGTGTAGGGAGCACTGCAATTCCGCGTTGGCAGCTCCCAATCTGTGTTTGGTCCTGGCGTGAAAACTCAAGGGACACATGCCGACCACTTGTTCACCAAAGGTTTTGGTGCATGCTTTGTTCAACCAGTGATTTTCTACAGCTCGGCTTCTTCTGAGGCATACTGTGGGTGTGTTTGTTGCCATTACCGGGAGGTGGGCTCGAAGACTTCAGCAATGGCCATGACCCCTTGGCTGATGGACCAAATCCACTCCGCACCAGGCGGTCGGTGATTTATCCTACTATGATATGTGTCCAGGTCCCCCAGTAGGGCCCTTTTACAATTTTTTGGGGGAGGGTTCCCCCACTAAAATAGACTACAGAAAGAAAGGGTGCCCTTATTCTAACCTCTCTACTGGGACCTAGGTGTGTAGTTGTTTTTCCATTTCCTTCTGGCCCGCGGCGGATTTTCGGCCAGGCGCAATACGACTGGAAATGTTATGTGGATGCACACGGGGGCCCGCAGGGGGCCCGCAGGACGCTTGAACCCTAACACCTTCTGCCCGACGGATCATGAATCTCAGTGTGCTCCCTCGCTGCAGACTTGTGAATCCATTGTTCCAGATCCACCAACTATCGTCCTTTTGTTCGTCGTTCCCTGGGTGACCATTTCCAAGCTTTTGTTTGTGACTTGCCTAAGACACTTCTGGACTATGATGCTGGATATTTCTGACTAAATGGATGGGTGTGACTCACCTCCCCCCACCTCACGCCCCCACCTCACGCCCCCACCTCACGCCCCCACCTCACCCCCCACCTCACCCCCCCACCCCCCCACCCCACCCCCCTTCCCCCACCCCAGCCCCCCACCCCACCCCCCCCCCCAACCCACCCCACCACCCCCCCACCCCCCCACCACCCCCCCACCCCTCACCCCCCCTCACCTCCCCTCACCTCGCCTCACCCCCTGCAACTGACCCGAGGTTCAGCACCGAGGTGTTCCTGACCCATGTGGAGCGGGTCCACCCCAAGCCGCCGCCAGGGTGGTCGTGAGCACCGGAGACCAAAACCCAAGGCCCCAAATCCAAATTCTCAGTGCCGTGGTGGTTTTGGCTACTCCTTTCAGCCTTTTGTTTTTTCAGGAACATCCGATTTTTTGGAGTTCAAATGAATATGGCTTTTCAGGAACATATAGGAACATGGAAGAAAGATAAAAAAGAGTTAACATCCGTATCCCAATGGTGAAACATGCCCTCAGGCAGTGTTGAACATCCGAATTTTGGGGTCAAGTTCATATCCTAATGGTGACACATGCGCAATTTGACATTTTGACGCCCACCTTAAAGCCTTAGCAACACAAGATCATCCTCAGGTCGTGTTTGCGTCAGGGTCTCAGCAAGGCTCGCGGTTGCCACTCAGACACCTGGGCCGACACTCTCGGTCTCAGGCTTTTCCCCGATTGCATGCCAAAGAAAAAGAATCCGCGCCGAGTGCGACAGCAGCCATCCGGGCAGCTGGTATACACGTAGCTAGTCGAATCGGTTGTCTTGGGGTGTTCGAAAGCCGGCATGTTTGACTTTCGGGGGCCGAGTTGGCACAGCGTCTTGGGAGAGCTGTTGCATCCAGCTAACGCGTGACGGACTGTCACGAATCCGCTTTCTCGTCACTTCTGTGCTCGTGCATTGTAGGTCGACAGCTTTGCCCCGCGCCCTTGTTGAAAAATGAGCAAGTGAAGCATGCAATGATTAGAGTAGGTTTCCCTTTGGTTAATTTGGTTGCATTTTGCATGTTTTTGCTTGTCGCGACGCGCCCAGACGCTATGCATTCGAGAGAGAGAGAGGTTTCCCTTTGGATGAACTGCTGGAGCGTCCTGAGCGATCCGGTTGAAGTCCAAGGGCCACCTGCAGCGAAAGCAGCTGGAGGTTCGAGGCCCACTCAGGACTTGTTGGTCACAGGTCACTAGGTTCCCTTCCAGCGACCCCAGGGGTCTGCGAACTGACCCGTTCTGATGAAGTTCCTGGTCTCTTCGTTCGGGTGCACTAACATGGCACCTGTGGCGAGGCACCTGGAAGATCAGTTACCGCTTGGAGGGACCCCCTGGGTGCCATGTCAGAGAGGGGCTTTCTCTCAATTTTCTCACTTACGATGAAGTGCGTTGCTAGTCCCTTCCCCAGAATTAGTCCCCCCCAGAGAATCCAAACTCCATTGGGGTCGTCATAAAGGTTGGAGGCGTCAAGACCAAGACTGCAAGGTCCCCAAATCTTGGTGGAATCTTGCAGTGACATCCCCTGCCTTGGTGGCTCTGTGACACATGCAACTATTTGTGAATATGCCGGCCAATGTCATATAGGAGCTGCCTGTGGCTCAAAAACAGCGCGCTCTTTTGATTCACTCGGCCCCGGCCTCAGCTGAGGTCACTATGGGAGACAGGGCGCATGTGGCCCGCAACAAGAAAAGGTTCCATGTTTGGGCTGAAGGCGATCAAAGGCTTTGGAGGTGAAGGTGTAGCAGAGCCAAATAGCGCTGCAACGTGCGTTGGCTAACTGTTGCCCTGTGAGTCATCCGCGCAATGCGGCCCACGCGGCCTACGAAGTCCTCCGCTGTTAGCAGCATGAAGTATGATGGGTTGACTTTCTCTTCCCGCACTATCCGTGCCATATGGTCCATGTGGTGGTGCTTCGGCACCAAATACCAGAGGTTGCGGCCGATTTGGCGCCCCTTGGCCTTGTTGCTCAGTTTGCGAAGCGCCGCGTAAGTGCGTAGATGGCACATACAATGCTGATATAGCAACTCTGCTTCTTGATCCGTCAGGCACACGTCGCAAGCGCCCAACATGCGGAGAAAGGAGCTGTATGCGTGCATGGTGGTTGCCACAAGCCGGTCTTGCTCTGTGCTTTGCGGCCTCGATGCGTGCTGCAACGCCCGCTCTGTGAGCCAGAATGTCAGCGCCTTCGAAGGGGCTGCCTTCGAAGACAAGCATGGAAAATGCCCCCGGTGCGTCCTGCCAAGCCGCGATGGTGTAAACCGCGGCTGCGAAACTTGGATATCTGGGTGCGCCTTCTTCCATAAAAGGAAATCCTGGTGAGCAGCGCGTAGGAAGTTGGTCAAAATATCCTTGTAGACACCATCACGGGGCCAGTCCCCCCAAAATCCCGACTCTGCTAAATAGGTCAGGCAAGAGCCATTAGCCAGCTTTCCTGTGCCCAACAACTGTGAGTGCGCGCAGTCATGCAGCGCCCGGCAGATTTCGATGCCGGGCAAGTCGAAAGCAACTGAGCCTGAACTGCCGCGTAAAATTAAATCCTGTTCGCAGCCCGAATGGCAATTCAGGTCCCGAAACTGGTATTTGAGGTGACTTAATCCTTGACGTGTTTAAGCGCTACGCTTTGAGCACCGCCGCAGTTCAAGAAGAACCCTCTGAGACAAACACCCTTCGCCCCCTGAAAACTTACCACAAGTTGCCCAGGCGCGGTTGGCTTCAAAGTCGGACAGGTCCGGCAAACTGTTGCGGTGCGCCGCACTCTCGCGGAAATCTGCCATGGTCATACCAGGGTCCGCATGGTGCTTGCAGGCGCCGCACAGGCTGCAAAAGTTGTTTTTCCGGAAGTTGTGCAGCCCAAAATTTTCTTGTATCCACTTAAGGTCCCCCAACAGGGAGCTGCACATGAAAACGTATCCTTCGCTGGACCACTCATGAATGACAGAAGGGTCGACCATGGAGGCCACCCTGGGGCATATAGATTTCATCAGGTCCTCATGTGTGTGCTCGGTTCCACAGTGTTCAGGCCAAACTGCTATAGGGTAGTATCTTGTAAACGAGTCGTTGCCATAGGTCAGGTCAGATCCCCACGCCAGGATTGATACTGTACCCACCTCGCTGTTTCTCCAGCACTGAACATCGTCGCCATAAAACGAAAATGGCACCATGTGGCTGAGCTTGGGGTAGTCACGCATAGGGTGCCGCTGGAACCAAGCACTGTTTTTTTTGCAATGCTTCCAAAATTGCTCAGCATCCCTCCCTCCAAAAAAACATTTCTTGAAGACGGCAGGCCCTCTCCGGTAAATCGCTGTAGCCAAGGTGTCAGGGTGCAAGACAGCAACGTGTTGGTACTCAATTTGGGCTGTAATGTGATTGTGCATCCTGGCAGGCACATACTCAATTTCTGCGGCCAGCCGCTTGCAAAGTGAATTGATCATTGTGTGAAAATCCCGCTCGATGTTCCCATGATACTTGCCGCTGCACCCCAAAGATGCAAGTTTTTCAACTTGGTCTCGCGAATCCACCGAGCCACCTTTCTGTCGGCACCAGCGAACAGCCGAAGATGCAATTTCTTGGACCTTATAGTAATGATTTCAATGAATCAACGCGTTGTTCATGGAGAACATTCGCAACAAAGAAACCATTCCGAGCGAGACCTAAGAAAAAGGACTTCAAGTGTTTTCCAACAGGGGAGCTTGCTTAAAACATCCCATGCGTAAAGAAAGAGCTGACCCGTGTTGGCTATGTTAAATCGCATTTTCTGCCAGAGACCCGTGAAGAAACACTTTCTGCATCAGGATTAGCAACCTTGGTCGCACTTGATTTGCCAGTTGTGAAGTCTTGAATCAAGACGTCTGCAAACTCTACTGGAGCTGGTTTCTCTGGTAGCAGGGCTTTCTCTCGCGCTTCTCGTACATGAGGAGGGTCGTATGGGTGCAGCTCCTGCCGAGGCGATGACAATGGCTTCTGCGGCGAAGGCATGGGTGCTGAGGACCCAAGTGATTGAAAAAAGAAAAGCCAATTGTGCAACCGCTGCTCTCCTCGTTCAACTGCAGGGGCTCGGTTTTGGCAAGTCCTTCACAATCCAAAGCAAAGCTTGGAAAGGTCGAAGCAGGTTTCAAAAAGATGGTCAAGGCATATTGCGTACCACTCATTGATTCAAGACGAACGCTCGCGATAAAGGCTTTTGCGCTTGTAATCCCCCATGTTGGATGCAAAGCCTCCTTCGGCTTTAGCCCGAAACCCTCACATTGCCAAAGCTTGTTTGGCGTGAACCCCACATTTGTAACAGAGCTATTGACATCAGAACTGTTCGCAACTCAACATCTAAACATCTAGTGTGCAAGTCACACATCATGCATTTCCCATGTGGTAGGGGAAAAAGTGTCCTATAGCTCTGCTTCACTCTATGGAAAGAACGCGCGCCCGCTCATTGCAGGATCACAGATCATCAGCATCGAGGTCTTCCTGGCGGCAGGGTTGGAGGAGGGCGGGCATGGGTGCTGACAAAAAAGGGGAAACAGATCCGTCCTGGTCCCTCTTTTTCTTTTTTCCACCCGAAGACTTGGTGAGCTGATTGGCCACATCGGCATCCCTCGCATAATTCTCCATGAGCCATAGGCAGTGGGAGCAATGTTTTTGCAACTCTTCAAGGTCCAGCTCATCCTCCTGCGTCATGGTTATCAAGCACAGCCATAAGCGTGTTTGCGTGGCAAAAGGGCTCCTTCGTGTGCGAGTAAGCCTGCAGCTGAAAGAACGCACTCTCCATTGACTGAGCGTGAACCACAAGCGTGTCGCCTGAGCAAGTCGCAGGATGACGCAAGGCCATCCCTCGTACGCTTGAATCGTTGAACTCGTTAGTGCGTGGCTAGCTGCGGAGGCACTCTTGGTGCGGTAGCTTGGCCAACTTGATTGGCCACATTTTTGCTTGCATTAGGTCATTCAGCATTCCGCGTAGCAGCCAATCCATACATTCCAGCGGCTTTGACGCTGGCGGAGCTTCTTTCCTCAGGTCAACATGGGCGTTGAATTTAAGAGCAAGACACCCTGCAAAAATAGAAAACAACCAAGGCTCTTCTTCCGAGGCTTTTTCTCGTCATCACCCTTGCTCTTGCCTGCCTTTTGGAATCCCCCTCTTTTTCCCTGGAGTTGCTGGGCTGGAACAGGTTCCCCTGAAGACAGCGCGGCTTGGCCATGTGGCGCGTGCGCAGAGTTCCTCAGAAATTCGTTGCGGTCCACTCCCGCCATGAGCTTCTGAGCGGCCTGGGGATGAGTCAACTTGTGAAAGCAACCCCCGCGCAGGACAGACTGCAGGTGGCCTC